CTGCCGGCATTGCACGACATGGGTGCACCTACCTACATGCAGGCAATACACACATACACATAAAATAAAAATAATAAATAAAATATTTAATAAATAAATAAATAGGGGGCTGGTGATATGGTTCAGTGATTAAGAACACTGGCTGCTCTTGCAGAGAATCTAAATTTGGGCCCCAGCACCCACATGACAGCTCACAACAGACCAAAAGACCGTAACTCCAGTTCCAGGAGATCAGACTCCCTCTTCTAGCCTCCATGGGCACTGTATGCACATGGTGCACTATGCACATGCCAACACTCAAACACATTAAAAATAAGAAATTAATTTTAAAAAATAGGGCTGGAGAGATGGCTCAGCGGTTAAGAACACTGAGTGCTTTCATAGAGGACCCAGGTTCAATTCCCAGCACCCACATGGCAGCTAACAACCATCTGTAACTCCAGTTCCAGGGGACTCTGACACCCTCTTCTGACCTTCATGGGCATTGCACAACATAGGTGCACTTACATACATGCAGGCAATACACTCATACACATAAATAAAAATAATAAATAATAAAAGCAAGAAAGTCTCCTAGTCTTCTGATCCCCTTCCCCATTCGATTTCATCCTTGTTATAATTTACAAGTAACAATGTGGTGTGTGCTCTTCTGCACTTGGTCCCATGATCATGAAGAGGTGTGTGTGTGTGTGTGTGTGTGTGTGTGTGTACCATACACAGATGTACACACACACGGGATTGTGTTTGCACCGTGTAGGTGCTGCAGTTAGATATATGAGAGGGAGAAGGCCACTGTATGAGTGATACTATAATGTGCACTTTTTAAAAGTGACATGTGGATATGCTACATCTGTCTCTTTAGACTATGTCATTGTTTTGATTATTGTCGGAAGAATTTCGTGGTTTCGTGGTCTAACTACCACATTTTCTTTTTTTAAAATTTTATTATTTTTATTTTATGTGTATGCATGTATTGCCTGCATGTAGGTAAGTGCACCCATGTCATGCAATGCCCAAGGAGGTCAGAAGAGGCTGTTGGATCCCCTGGGACTGGAGTTATGGACAGTTGTTAGCTGCCATGTGGGTGCCAGGATTCGAACCCGGATCTTCTGCAAGAACAACCAGTGTTCTTAACCACTGAGCCATCTCTCCAGCCCAGCCACCACATTTTAAGTCAATGCTTCTCCTGTTGGGGAATATTCAGGTGGTTTCTGGCTTCCTGCAACTAAATATTTTGCTGTAGATAAACTTCCCTGACATGAATTGTTAGATATTGCTGTTGGATAAAGCTCAGAGCACACATTTAAAGAATTTTTAACACTGCCATAGTACTTTAAAATGTTATACTTTGTACCTTATAATCCTATCAACTGGTCATGACATTGAGATACATACAAAATCTTATGGTAATTAAAGCCTTTTGCTAGATCTACGCTTGTCTTCTGACACTCAAGTCAATTCATTTGCATTTCTGTTATTTAAAAATATCTGTCTTCTTACCTCTAGGTTAGATGTGCTGGTTTATAGTCTCTTAATTCAATTTTACCTCCATGTAGTTATTCAGTTAGAAGCAAAATGCCATTTAGATAAATGTGACTGGCTTCTATATCCTCCTTCCACCAGAGTCAAACCGAAACCTACAATAAATCATGAATTTATTTCTAGAATGTGCTCACAGAATCTGTGAAAGCCCACTGGTGTTTAGAAGTTGTGATAGGTCAGTAGCTAAGTTCCTGGAGAGTTTGGGAATTCAAAGCATTCAGTAGGTGTGTAAGATACAGCACTATTATTATGACCCTAGATGTCCATGTTAACTCTCTACTGAAAAACAGAACTAACAGAAGCTAGTATTTGAAAACCAAATAGTCCATAAAAATATGGGGGTGGGTAAGGTTAATCCTCCCTATTCAAAGTGCAAAGATGTCTTTGCTGAGAATTGTTTGTTGCAACTTGGGAAACTAACCAATCTACATTCCTGCAGGGCAACTGGGTAATGTGTATCAAAGTCCTTAAAAATACTCTCCAATGCTGTAATTCTGTTCTTAGCTATTTATGAGTAAAAAGGTGTAAAGCAGTCTAGTGACAAAGTGAGTAAAAATTAAGAGAAATTATGCTAACCTAAATTATTGAGCTATTAAAAATCATAGGTGTAGGGAACATCTAGTGACATGGGAAAGAGACACTATAATGAGAAGGCAAAACAGGCTTCAAAATTATAGTAGTGTTTCCTAGAGCTCTTCTGGTTTAAATTAGCTTGAGAAATGCTTGGCTGATCATAATTAAACAAGTTTATGCATCATAGAACTTGTGTTGTTAGAGATTTGTGGAATACAGCGTAAATTTTTAAAAATTTTAATTACTATTTAATTTTATTTTATGTGTATGAGTGTTTTGCCTGCTTGTATGTAAATGCACCCATGTTGTGCAATGCCCACAGAGGCCAGAAATGGGTGTCAGATTCCCTGGAACAGGAGTTAACTCAGATGGTTGTTAGCCACCATGTGGGTGCTGGGAATCAAACCCGGGTCCTGGAAGTGTTTCCAACTGCTGAGCCACTTCTCCAGCCCCCATAAAAAATTTTTTTTTACATTGAAATTTTTTGTGACTACTGTAGCTTTACATCACTGTGGTAAATGCCTGGGAGAAACAGTTTAAAGGAAAGAAGTTCATGGTTTCAGAGGACTGTCTGGACTTGTGGACATCATGATGAAGGGGATGTGGAGCAGAACTGCTCACCCTGTTAGAGCCAGGAAGCAGAGGGAGGATGCCTATGCTTGAGAATTTCCTCCTCCTTCCTACCCCATTCCATCCTGGTCCCCAGCCTGTGGGAAGGTTGCACCTACCACCGGGGTTGGTCGTACCCCCTTAGTTTAGTTAATCGTCTCTGCAAAGTCCCTCACACACACAGGCGTGTGCTGTACTAATCTTCTGGGTGTTTCTCAGTTCAGTCCAGTTGACAAACAAGATGAACCATCACAAATACCTATTACTTTCTTTTAAGCCACTTGATTTCCACTGATGATAGTATAAGAAATACCAGCATGAGAAATATCAACATGCACTTCAGTCTCAGTTTTTGCTGTTAAGAAGGGAGTATAAGGGCTGGAAAGGTGGCTCAGCTGTTAAGAGACTTGCTGCTTATATAGAGGACCCCGGTTTGGTTCCCAGTACCCACATGTCTCTAACTCCAGTGCCAGGGGATCTGACGCCCTCTTCTGGCCTTTGCAGGCACCAGGCATACATTTGGTGCACAACACTCATACACATAAACTTTTTTTAAACTGAAGAGATAGTGCAACAGTTAAGAGCACTGGCTGCTCTTGCAGAGGACCTGAGTTCAGTTCCCAGCACCCACATGGCAGCTAATACCATCAATAACTCCAGTTCCAGGAGATCCAACGTCCTCTTCTGGCCTCCACAGGCATTGCATAACATGGGTATACTTACATAGATGTAGGCAAACACACACCCACACATAAGGTACAAATAATCAAAAAAAGTTTTTAACTTTAAAAAATAATGTATATACATGTATTGTATGTTTACATATATGCTTATGTATATTTGCTTACAGGTGTGTTCCGAAAAAAATAAGCTGGGAAAAATATCTGAAAAGATTATCTCAGAGTTGGGAAATTACAGGTTATTTCCTTAGTACCAGTCTAAATTTCCCTAATTTTTAGTAAGAAAATAATATATGCTTTCCAACACTGAAATAAAAAAAATGTTTTTAAATTCCCAAAGAGTTAATAAGAAGTAACTTAAGAAAGAGACTTTGCAACAGTTGTCAAAGTGTGAGAAAGCAGCTGTGTAGAAAAGAAAACAGAAACATTACCTGCAGGCCTGAGTCTGCCCTCAGGTTTATGGTCTTGGGCAAAGCATTTAACCTCTGACTGTCACTTATAAAATAAAAATAGTAGTAAAACTGCAGCGAAAATCCTGTCAATATGTCTAATATGTGCCTGTAAATGTGCATGAAGACTGCTTTGATTTTAGGTAGTGATTGCCTGTATAGAGAAATGTCTCTTTAAATCAAGTTACGATATTGGGATAAATGTGCTCCTATATTTGGAAGTCTAAATATTCTTCCAAAATGATGAATGAAGTACTCTTTTTCTTATGGAAAAAATGTGGTTTATTCCATCAAATTGGAAGAAAATCAGGTTTTAGACTAATTTAGATGAGTCAGATTCCCCTCCCCCATTACTTTTATCACTTGTCAAGTAATTGACATAAAAATAGTTTTACTTACCAGAATCCATTTCTGTGACTTGGGCCCCTGCCTCACTTATTTCCCCCAAAGAGCCTCAAGTATATATATAAGAATTTGGTTCATTTGTCCCAGAATTATAAAATGCCTTGTTGAGAAGGTTTTCTTTTGCTGTATAGCAAAATCACTTAGAAATGTTAAGATTACGGTGTGCTACATGAAAACCTTGCCAGTAGGATGTGCTTTCAGGCATCCTTCTTAGCAGTTATGGTGTTTTTTAATGTCTCTCTCTAATAGCAACTCTACAGAAAGAAGCCAGGCTTGGCCATCACATTTGCAAAGCTGCCTCAGAATTTGGACAAAAACCGATATAAAGATGTGTTGCCTTGTAAGTATCCGGCCCAATGCCTCCTTCCCCCCTACTCTGAGATAATGTTTCCCTTTTTAAAACAGATTGTCTGGGATTCTGGAATGGTTTTCAGTGTGTCTGTAAACACCACCGTCTTTATTGCAACCATCTCAGACTCTGAACAGTTGGGGAATAGTGGTTATGCTAATGAGGCGAGAGCTGCAGATGGGACTGGGAACTGAACCCTTGTTTACTTGGGATGATAAAAATAACGCTCAGAACAATGGGTAAATTTTTCTCTCTCCTGCAGATGACACCACCCGGGTATTACTGCAGGGAAATGAAGATTATATTAATGCGAGTTATGTGAACGTAAGCTGGGAATCTGGGCAATAAAAAGAACACATTGATCATGCAATGAGGGTGGGAAAGGCCTGTGGGGACTGTCCACCACACAGCGCTCCCCATTCATATCATCATTCCAAGACAGTGACCTTGTGGGAAAATGAGTAGTCTCACTTTACAGAGGAGGAAAGTAAGACTCAGATTTGGATAACATGAAAAGCCACAAAGCCAAGAGAGATGGGTCCAGACACATTCTGTTTCTTTTTTTAAAAAAATCTTATTAATTTTATATTATGTGTATGAATGTATTGCCTGCATGTATATGAATGCTCCCATGTGGTGCAATGCCCTTGGGGGTCAGAAGAGGGTGTGGGATCCCCTGGAAATGGAGTTATAGACAGTTGTTTGCCACCATGTGGGTGCTGGGTATATAACCCAGGTCCTCTACAAAAACAGCCAGTGGTCTTAACACTATCTCCACATTCTGTTTCTAATTACATCCTACACCTACCCATGTACCTGCCTTTTGCCATGTAGATGTTTGTTTCTACCAGTGATATATTTGTAGCTTTCTGTGTTTTTCCGACATGTTATTTATGTCATATATAAGACTTCCTCTCCACTTATAACCCAAAAGAGAAAGAGGGAAAAGGTCCACCTAATACAGAGAGCATGCATTACCAGCAACTTAATTATCAGACTCCCTGAACTTAAGTTTCTCCATCTAAAAGCTGAGTCAGCAAACCTCTCCTGTGGATTACATAGTAACTATTTATCTTTGCATTGACAATGTAACCCTTGAAAACTACTTTTAAATAGCAAGATGGCAGAATTGGCCTCAGGCCATCTTCTGCCCAAATAGGATTTCTCAGATGAAGTTCAAGTTCCAGCAAACTATCAAGAGCTGCCCTGTTGGAAATTGGTCTGATCAGTGACTCCACTACTCCATTAGCTTTATTGTCAAATCTAAACAGGCTTTTTCCTTGATTTCCCTCCCCCTCCCTCACTCTGAATTGATAACAAGATCTTTTTCTGGTGTGATTCAGCTAGCAATTGGGAAAGTTTAAAATGCAGAACCCTTCCCATCTTGTGCCAGTTAACAGATTCTGACGTGTTGTGATCTCTGACTAGATGGAAATTCCCACTGCCGACCTCGTGAACAAATACATTGCCACTCAGGGACCCCTGCCACACACCTGTGCACAGTTTTGGCAAGTTGTCTGGGATCAGAAGTTGTCTCTTGTTGTCATGCTGACGACCCTCACAGAGCGAGGGCGGGTAAGTCACCCGATTTCCATTTCAAATGCATGCATTATCATACTGTACTCTCTGAAACATGAATCTCAGGGCTGGAAAGGGTCTCCTGGTAACCCATAAATCTCCTATTTGGGACCTCCAAGTGGACATGTCCAGTGATGGGATGCTTAGCCCTCCTCCTGCCCACTTCTCATAATGGGCTTATTATAACAATCTAGAGAGCAGTACTTCCTGTCCCACCCCCCCCTCCCATATTAAGAACTGTGGTCAGTAGAGGCTGAACTTTGTCTTGATGTTGCCACTGAGCCAGTGTCTCCCTTCTAGTATTCTTGCAATATTTCGTCAGCACTAAAATGTGATTCCTCTTAAGCACGTTATCAGCCTGTCTGATCTTAGATCTCCTGAATGCATGGTGGAGACAAGTAATGCTGCTCCCCTTGGAGGACTGGTGAAGACTTGAGACAATATGTGTAAAAAAGTTAGAGGACTGGGCTGGAGAGATAGCTCAGCGGTTAAGAACACTGGTTGCTCTTGCAGAAGACTCGGGTTCAAATCCCAGCACCCACATGGCAGCTAACAACTGTCCATAACTCCAGTCCCAGGGGATCTGACAGCCTCTTCTGACCTCCATGGGCATTGCACGACACAGGTGCTCTTACCTACATGCAGGCAATACACGCATACACATAAAAATAATAAATAAAATTAAGAAAAAAAACTTAGAGGACTGTTTAAGTGTCCCACAAATATCATCATCATCATCGGTGTCGTCATCATCGTCATCATCATCGTCATCAGTCGGATTCAGCCTGCACACCTGGCCTTTAGGCTCACACCTTTCAGCCTTGTTATTCCTCCCCCTTAGCTTTGATTTGCCCCTCACAGATTGGTCAGAATCTCTCTCATCCCATAAATCACAACAAAAAAAGTATAAAAGCTGGGCAGGCAGGCCTCAAGAGGTAGCAACTTCCTCCTCAATGTTGTCTTCGGAAGCAGTAAGGACAGACGTTGGGGAGCAGTTGTTACTCGTGGCAGCTCTGTTCTGGTCCCCATTTCTCCATCTTGCCTAGCCGATTACTGTGAGTGGACTACAGCATTGCTGAATTCACCCTGCAATAGTTCTATGGCACCACCTCTGTCCAAAAATCATAAGAAATGGAGTTACTTGGGACTCTTTTGAACTTAAAGAATCCCAGTTCCCTAAGCTAGTTCAGAGTGTTGTCCTCCGTCTTCCTAATGTGTCTGCAGCTATCTGGTTATGTGGTGTAGTGGTAAGAAAGCAGACCCTAAAGCCATATAATGTCAGTTCCTGGTGTTCTCATGTCCTACCTGTGTGGTTATGTATCTCTCATCTCATGGGATTGTGAGGGAACTCCATGAGGTAATGAAGATAGCCCCTATGAAGAAAGAACTTGACATGTGGTAAATTTTTGTTATTGTTGTTGATTTTGGTTTTTGGAGTCAGCATCTCACTCTGTAGTCCAGGCTGGCTTTATACTTGTGGAATTCCTCCTGTCTCTGCCCTCCCAAGTGCTATTATTAAATGTATGTGCTGTCACACCCACTTGATCACAGTAAATACTATGTGAATGTTAGCCAGCAGTAGGAATAGCATTAATTTGGACATACCTTATTGACTGTTACCAGATTGTACTACATTTATTTTGTAGTTTCGTTTATTATTTTTCTTTAAGCCAACTCACCTGTTTTTGTCTTAATTTCTTTTGAAAGATATTTCTTTCTAAGTTTTTGGTTTTTTGTTTATTTATTTATTTTGTTTTATGTGTATGTCAGTGCACCTGTGTCATACAGTGCCAGCAGAGGACAGAAGAGGGTGTTGGATCCCCTGGAACTGGAGTTATGGATGGGTTTTGGCTCCCATGTGGGTGCTGGGATATGAACCCAGGTCTTCTGCCAGAGCAGCCAATGCTCTTAACCACTGAGCCATCTCTCCAGCCTCTTGAAAGATATTTCTTAGATGGAAGTCCACCATCGCTTGCCAGTAGTAGAAGTATGTGTTAAAATTTCAAAAAGCACAAAACAGAACCGTGCATGATGGCAGACACTTGTAATCCCAGTGCTCAGGAGGCAGAAGTAGAGAGATCAGGAGTTCAAGGCCAACCTGTGCTGCATGAGATCCTGTCTCAAAATAAACAAAAAGAACGCAAAGCAAGGTTATTAAACTCTTAAGTTTTCTCTTCTGGACTCTGGATCTCAGGCCTGCACTCTCCTTCTCAGTCTCTGTTATGTATTGTGATGAAAAGAGGGCTAAAAATAAGTGTTCAGGTGGAATGTTCAAGTGGTCCTGGACCCATGCTGAGGTGTGTCCACCGTGGCACAGTAAGAATGAGTCACTTGACCCCCACAAGGATCTGTGTTCTTCAAGCAGGCCTACATAGGTCACCAGTTCTCCCTACCTGGAAGCTCATGGTTCTGGGATTTTATCAGTAGCAGATACTTTGCGCTCTGACTGCCTTTCTTCGGCCTAATATTCTGGCACTTTGGATGTCTGTACTCTGGGTTTCCTCAGCAACAATTTGTGGACGTGCCGCTCTGCTGTCTCCTGAGGTCTATCTGTTCATGATGCAATTCCTCAGAGGCGACACCTGAATGCACTCAGTGACTCAGTGCCATCACTGGATTGTCGGTGTCGGGCTTCTTGCTCTTTTAATGTTCACTCTTCCCTTTTCAGCTAGACAGTCATTCTTCTCCTCAGAGAACAGGGAGACCCTGCAGGAATGGTGGGTGACAGATGATCTGCCCTGGTAACAGCCCCTCCTTCCCTCCATCTGCTTGTTGCAGCTCAGGAAAAAAAGCCCTTTTCTGTGATCCGAGCAATCTCACCCTCCTCCATCGTTCTTCCGGGTCCTGCCTTTCCTGCTCCAAGCCACAGCTGTGCTTTTCCCGTCTTGGTATCTGCTCTCAGCCCAAGCGCATCTGAGGTCTTCGTGTGACCCAGCACATTTCTTTGTTTCCCAACCTTCTTAGCTGAACCCACTACACTGCTTCCATTGGCTTCCTATATTGGAGAGTCCCTTGAGGCCCGCCTGTCCCTCCAGCATCTCTGGCCCTGGCAACTTACTCTCTTGTTAGCAATAGTTAGAAACCTTCTAAAAATTCAAGGTGCCTGCTTCCTTCTCCTGTTATAGATTCTCAGGTGATCTTACACTTCCTGTCTCTTCGTCGCCTTCCCCCACTCCTGAAGCAGGCATTCTAGGTAAAAAGCTTTGCTCCTCTCTCTTCCTGTGAGGTGAACTTTCCAGGGCATCCTGTTTGTTCTCCATTGTGCATGAGGGAGGAAAGTGGGTCTCCCAGCAGGCGTGCACTGGCCAGAGTCCTATGCCCTCCCAGTCCGTTTTTTGCATGCAACTCCCTTGCTATGGATATCCGTTAGCCGCACTTTTTTCTGAGTCTGGTTAGTCAATATCCTGCCCTCAGGATGGTCTCACAAATGAAGCTGAGATTGACCCCTTCCACCTCTTGAACCCCCAGTCCAACTACTTACTTTCTGATTAGACACTCACCTGGTGCCATCCCATAAGAGGAACCCAAAGCCACAACTCCTTGTGTGTACACACATATCCACACATGAAGCCTGCCTATCCCCCTGAGCCCACTACCACAACCGAAGGCACATTTCTGCTTAGCCACCACAGCAGCAGTCTGGAGTAAGTCCTTGCTTTCACATCTCTTCACTTCTCACCATGGTTCACCACCACTGGCATTTTCTGTGACTCCCACTCTGACCCGTCCTCTCTCCCCCATGTCCCCCGCCACCTGTTCCCAGAGAAGCAGCAGCAGCCCTCTGGGCCAGAATTTTCTCCATGTTAGTCCACCCACAGATAAGGCCCTCAAAGCTGGGCCTTATAAGAGGGTGAGCCTGAGCCTGCATTTCCTGGTCACTCCCTGTAGTGGCTCCTAGGTGTGCAGAGCAGCATGTTGCCTGTCCCTAGATAAGCTTGTACCCTCTATGCAGCTCTACTGAGCTGTCTATTGTTCCCTAGGTATCCAAGTGCCTTTTACCTTCTGTCTCCTGTTTCCTGGGTCTGAGTGATCCATCCTTGCCTCATCCACCTGCATCTATCCATCCTGAGCTCCCTGTTCCTTCTGTATGGGATGTCTATCCACTCCTCTTTGACCTGCCCCACCTTGCCTATTCTTTCTACCCACATTACTTCAACCTGATTTGAGAACATCCAGAGGCTAATGCCATATCCTCTCTGATTCATAGCAACCTCCCTAGGAATCCTTGTTGACTGACCAAGTGAGCAAGAAAGCAAACTTCAATGATAAAGCCTTCCTAATTGGACCCATGGCTTTCCCCCAAACCCCATCTGGCCCATCTTTCTGAGACAGTGCTCTTCCTCGGCCAGGAACCCAGCCTTCAGCATGTTCCCTCAGGTCACAAGCACTTCTTTCCAAAGCCATTCCGGTGTCACCTTTTCCTTCCCAGACCCTCTTCTCAAAGTCACTGGATGGCTGGGGCCAGAAGGGGAGAATAATCCCCAAGGAGACAGTATTCCCAGTTCCGGCAGAATCTGCCCAGGGTTTTGTCCCCAGTGCCACTGTCCTTCGCAACCTCCCTCTCTAAGGTGTCAGGCCCCTTGCGTGTTACCTGTCTGGTCCCCACAGCCTTGCTGAGGCACGCTTCCTTGTTGCTTCAGAGTAGAAGCCTGGAGTGAAATTCTAGCCCTGTCCCTAGTTCTTATGACCTGACAGGGTAATTCTTTCTCAGAGCCTCAGTTCATTCGTATGCAAAGCAGACGGTAACAGTACCAACCTCAGGCAGTGGTCTTGAGGCTGAGATGCTATTGTCCATGAAATAAGCCTGGCATCAGGTGCTTAGTGCATACCATTCCAAAGAGGTGTGGCTTCTGTGCCTACTCCCCTAGCAGTCATGTGAAACAGGCTCACAGAAGTTAAGTAACTTACCCAAAGTGACCACACTGGGTTCTAGAGTCAACACCCCCCCCCTAAAAAAAATTTATGTGCTTGAGTGTTTTGCCTGCATATATGTAAGTACATCTATCCATGCGATGTCCTCAGAGGCCAGAAGAGGACATCAGATTCCCCGTAACTGGAGCTATGGACAGTTTTGAGTGCTAGGAATGAACCCAGGTCTTCTGCAAGAGCAGCCAATGCCTGTAACCACTGAGCCATCTCTCCAGCCCTGGGTTCTTAGAGCTAATTAACCCGATTGAGACAGGATCTTCATAAACTTCTTGTTCTCCCACTGTACCCCCAATGCTCCCAGATCCAAAGAGACCCAAAATGAGGCCAGTCCCAGGCAGAGTCCTTGTAAATAAGGATACTCTGGAAACACAAGCCTGTGTAACTCTGCCTTGCACAGATGGATTGCTTTTGAAAGTATCTGCCCCCAGTTATCCTGGCGTGGGACCCTGGGGAGTACATGGGGCAGGGGCTTTCTCTTTCTCTGCAGATGAGGTGATAGACTAGGTTCAGACAGACAGATGTAGAGCCTGTATCAGTCAGTTCTGCCAGCAGCCCTTCTAAATCTATGAAAAGTCAGAGTGGCTCCTCATCAGGAAAGGTTTCCCATGTTTGCTGTGTTAAATCTTCAGCTTCAGCTCCCACAGTGTACTTTGATTTTTAAATATTCACTGTGACATTTGAAAATACAGCTAGGAAAGCTATTGTCTGAGACCAACAAACAAATGGAATTTTTACTTGTTAGTACAACTCTAGACTTCGAAGAATATTTTTAAAGCTGAGCATGATGGCACATACCTACAGTGCCAGCCACACCAGAGGCTGAGGCAACAGCCTGACCAACACAGAAATCCTTTTTTAAAAAAATGTAATGAGTCAGAATTTGACAGAGGAAGTTTGATGGACTGGACAGCTTAGCCTTGCACGTGAGTTAGAAGCCGCAGGTTGGAGCTTCGATGGCGTTGAGGTGGTGACTTTACAAAGCCACATCTGTTTTGGGGGACACTCTAGCATATCATAGGACAAATGCTAGACTATTTTACAGCAGCTTGTGTCCTTGGAAAGTCTGTTAGTGCCCTGTGCACAGAGTTCCTCCTCTGTTGAATAGTCTAGACTATTTTACAGCAGCTTGTGTCCTTGGCAAGTCTGTTAGTGCCCTGTGCACAGAGTCCCTCCTCTGTTGAATAGTCTTAGCTCCATAGGAAATTTTCTTTTTTCTATTTTTACAATTTTTATTTTATTGATTATTGTTGTGTGATGTGTACATGTGAGTGCACACATGCCACAGCACGTCTGTGGAGATCAGACTACAACTTTCAGTAGTCTCCTTCCACTGTGGGTTCTGGGAATTGAACTTGGACATCCAGCTTGCTCAGCAAGTAGCTTTACCCCCTGATCCATCTTACCACCCTCCGAAGGGTATTCTGGAGGTGGAGGGGCAGGTGCAAATCAGTATTCCTTATGGTCCCGGGCCCTATTTACTATGAAAGCATTTGAGGGTGTGTAAGAAGTGTTGCTCATATGAAAAGGAATGGCTGTCTCAGCTTGGAGATTTTTTTTTTTTTTTAGCTTGGAGATTTTTTAATTCAGGACTTTTGAGGCATTTCTGACCACCCTGATTCAGTTGACATAGAACCCATAACAGTAATCATTGTCATGACCCCTCAGTGAACCCTGCACTGCAACCTCTCCAGCTTCTGTCACCATGTGAAAACATGAAATTCAAGAAGGTCCGGTGGCTTGTTGGAAGTCAAATGGCCAGTAAGTGGAGAGGGAAATGACTCCAACGGAGCTCTGATACCCAAATGTGCTGTTGAGCACTTTGTCCTCAGCCTCAGAAATGGGGTGCCTGAGGAAGCCTGGGGTAGGAGGAGCTGCTGAGAGCAGAGAAGAGGCCCAAGGAGCTAGGCCCACCTGCGTGACCCCAACACCCAGGTCGTGCTGCTCTTCCAGTGAACAAGCCCTGGAGGGAGAATAGAGTCCCTTCTCCAGGTTCCAGTCTAGGCTGAATGGCCTCTGACAGGTGGACCCACCCCACTCTCCAGAACACAGGGACAAGGGGGCCTTATCTGCATTTTTCCTGTCCTGTCATCTCTCCTTAAATGGATGTGGCTAGACACCTGACCGGTCTACCTGAGCATCATTAACTGCTCCTGGTTAACCCACACAGAAAAGCCTGACTTGAGTCTATGGTTTCTTACAGACCAAATGTCACCAGTACTGGCCTGATCCCCCCGATGTCATGAACCATGGCATCTTTCACATTCAGTGTCAGGCAGAGGATTGCACCATTGCCTACGTGTCCCGAGAGATGGTAGTCACAAACACTGAGGTGAGTGAGGCTTTGACAGGCACAGCAGAGGGGCAGGCACAAAGTCGATAGCCCGGGTGGTCCTAAGTGGGGCCTCATGTTCAGCTCTGCTGTGATAACACACGGTAGGCAGGTCAGTAAATGCAGATCTTCCTGTCAGAGAGCCAGTGGCCAGTGTGTGTAACTCCACCATTCACAATAACCAAGAAGGAGAGGCTGCCCTGTGGTCCATCCATCAAGGGATGCACAGGTAAACAAAATGGGAGTAGCCATGCAATGTAATAGTATTCAGCCTTAAAAAGGGAGGACATTTTGGCAAATGCCACAACTTGGGTGACTCTTACAAACATTAGGCAAAGTGAAAGAGGCCAGGCAGGGAAGCGCAAATACTGAGATTCCATTTATATAAATACCCAGAATAGTAAGTTCACAGGCACAGAGAGGACAGCAGTGTGTGCCAGGGTCAGAAGGAGGAGAGTAGAGAGTTATATTATAATGGCTACAGAGTTCATATTTAAGTGATAAAAACAAAAGTTCTAGAAGAAGATAGTAGTGATGGTGGCTCAGCATTGTAACTGCACTTAATGCCAATAATCTTTACACCTAAAAATGGTTAAAATGCTAAACTTTATTTTATGTGTATAGTAGCACAATACAAATGTATATACATAAAACAAGGTGAGGGCAGAGGTCACTGGAATGACATGTGTTTAGAGGAGTGACAGTAAAAGGCCCAGTTGTCATGAGCAAAGCCCTGAATTTGATCCTTGGCGTCACAAAAGAGTGTGTGTATGTATACAGAGCTGGTGTGGGTGGCTCTGACTATGTGTAGGATAGGGGCAGATGGAAGAGATGGCTGGAAGGAAAAGAAGGCAGTGTCCTGGGGCAAGATGGGAGAACGGAGGGTGACAGGAGTTGACAGGGACCACAGCAGAGCAGAGCTGGGCACACAGGGACACGGGAACACTAGGACAAGGCCACCCGGGGTTGGTGTCCAGGGCAGGGCTCATTGTCTTGATAACTCACCAAGGCCATTGCACCTTCCACAGACTGGGGAAGAACACACAGTGACCCATCTCCAGTATGTCGCGTGGCCTGACCATGGTGTACCTGATGACTCCTCAGACTTCCTGGAGTTTGTGAACTACATGAGGTCCCTAAGGGTGGACCATGAGCCTGTCCTAGTTCACTGCAGGTACCGTGCTTTACTGCATGTTGGTTTTAGTGTTGCACCCCTTGAGGAAGATGAGAAGGAATAGTACACACCAAACCCACTCTTACTCAACTGAGTCGCATGCTCCTATAAAGCTCTGTTTATTTCCTAACAATTTCAAAATATTTGGAATGTAATAAAATCATAAATTTGTGAGTATAGCTGGATGCTGAAGAAGAAAAATCCCACCCACAACTCCCTCTGTTCTGAAGTTGCTGATCTTCACAGCAGACATGAATCAGAAACGGGATTTTGCACTTGAGTGTGCTTAGGGGTCTTTCTGCCTCTTATTAAGCCCCAGCCTTAGACTCTACAGGGATGTGCTTTTCTGGCCAGCTTAAGAGCATACCTAAACTTGTGCTTTGTATTCTCAAAGGCCAACCTCTGGGCTCCCCCTGGGTAATCACAGCCCCTGAGTCAGTTTTCATCTCAGCTGTGCAGACTGGTAGATCCTGAGTCTTTGCTTCTCTCCTCTCTCCAGTGCTGGAATAGGTCGAACAGGTGTATTGGTCACTATGGAAACAGCCATGTGCTTAATTGAGAGGAACCTGCCTGTTTACCCACTGGATATTGTCCGGAAAATGAGAGACCAGCGTGCCATGATGGTGCAGACATCTGTGAGTAGAAATGCAGTGATAAAAATGGCAGAGGTCCATGTATCCTGAGCTTGTGCCTAGGAACTGCATAGACTAGGGGCACTGTGCAGAAACTGACATTCAAGGGGACTAAGTCAGTCACATGCCCAAGGTCACACAGCTTGTCAGAGACTCCAAGATTGCAAAGCCCATGCCTGTCTGGCTTCCATTCTGTTGCCTCTGGCTTATCCCACCTGCCACTCAACCCAAGAGCAGCTGCCTCTGAGCTGACTCCTACTGTGAAATGCCAGAGTACCTGACTTCACAGGTGTCTTCAGGAGAGAAAACATCTGCTTGTTATCCTGAGCTATAAGAAGGGTAGCGTGTGGTTGGTGTCAAAAGAGCATGATTCAGAGTCCCCTCACCATACACTGGAAACCATTGGGTAATGTCTGAACCCCTCTATAGACCTCAGTTTCCCCATCTGCAAGAAGGGAACTATCATGCATTTGATCATTCATTCAGCAGTTGTCCAAATAGGAAACACCTGAGCTTGCATTATATAGAACTGGCTTAGTTTTTTATAAATCTCAGCATGATGGGGAAAGTTCTAGGGGTATGTAAGAACATTCTGGAAGAATATTTAAGAAAGACTGTGGAAAGGTTTTCCAGAAGAGCAGCCTGTCCAACAAAACCCCCAGGGTGGGTGAGAAGGGTTAGCAGAGCAAGAAGCAGGAACTCTATATTCCAACTAGCTCTGAACCGTCACAGGCTGGTAGACAGAGGGTTGTAAGATTTCCCTAATAGATTATGAGTCCTTGGAGTTTAGATTAGTTTGTACCTAGGAGATCTGGTTAAGAACAAATCCAGGCTGGCAACATGGCTCACCATGGTAAAGATATTTACTGCCAAGCTTGACGATCTCAGTTCAGTTCCCCAGAATCCACATGATAGAAGGAAAGAACTGACTCCCAGAATGCGCACACACACACACACACACACACACACACACACACACACTTAAAGGGAGGGAGGAAGGGAGAAAGAGAGAAATAATCAGGTCATTTAAGACCATTTCTGCCCTGTTTGATTATATGGAAGACCTAAATGCTAGCTTAAAAAATCACAGAGCCCCTCAGACAGGCCTAGTGGTACAAGACTAATCTCAACTACTTTGGAGCCCAAAGCAGGAGGATTGGAAGTTCAAGACCTACCTGGGCAGCTTAGCAAGACCTTTTCAACCCTTTATATTTGTGATTCCACATCTGCTGATTCAACTAATGGCAGATTAAAAGGATTAGAGAAAAAAATGTATCTGTACAACTATGTCTTTATTGTTCCTCAAACGATGTGCTCCAACTATTCCTATTGTATTAGGTATTAGAAATACCTCGAGGTGATTTTCGTTTGGCTTTCGGTGGGGGTTTTTGTTTGTTGTTTGGTTAGGGTTGTTTTTAAATAGTTTATTGTTTTTATTTTTATCTGTATAAGTGTATTGCCTACATGCATGTAAGTGCACCTGTGTTGTATAATGCCTTCAGAGATCAGAAGAGAGCATCAGATCCCCTGAAACTTGAGTTACAGATGGTCGTTAGCAGCCATGTGGGTGTTGGGAATCAAACCCACATCCTCTGCAAGAGTAGCCAGTGCTTTTAAACACTGAACCATGTCTCCAGCCCTGTTTGTTTTTATGACAGGGTCTCATTCTGTAGCCCAAATTGGTCTAGAACTCAAAGCTATCATCCTGCCTCAGCCTCCCAAGTGCTAAGTTGCAAGTGTGAACCATTGCATTCACATCAAAAAAATGATTTTTTTTTTTTTGAGGCAGGGTCTCACTATGTAGCACCAACTGACCTGGAACTCACTTAGGTAGGCCAAGCTGGCCTCAAACTCACAGAGATCCACCTGCTTTAGCCTCAGCCTCCTGAGTGTTGAGATTAGAGGCATGTGTCACCACACCCTGTCAAAGGTGATTTTAAAAGTATACAGTAGGATGTACATAGGTTATAAGCAAATATTGCACCATTTTATAGAAAGGATTTGAGTATCCATAGGGGGTTCTGAAAGCAATCCCCCATGGCTATTGAAGGACAACCATATAGATGATCACCAATTTTCACTGGCTTTCCTCTGGAGGAAAGAAGAATCCAGATTCCTCGCCCCATACCCACATCCCAGCCTACCATGTCCCTATCCTCTATCACCCTTCTAGTCTCCAAACCTCCACACAGGCTCAGGTGTTCCAGTCCAGGACAGTGGGGTCCTGACTACCCTGCTCAGACTAGACCTTGTCATCAGGGTTTCCACATTTGTACCTTGTGTTAGTTACTTTCTTATTGCTGTGACCAAACACCTAACAACACACAGGACAGGAAGGTACAGCCTCTCGTGGTGAGGAAGGGGCAGTGCAGGAACATGAAGCCGCTGGTTGCATGGTGTTTAGTCATCAAGCAAAGAAAGACAAATGCTGGTGTTTAACTTGTTTTCTCCTGGTTTTCATTTTAGTCAGCATCCCAGGCCACTCTCAGGGTGGGTCTTGCCTCCTTAGTTAACTCTCTGGAAACTGCCCTCTCAGGCATGCCCAGAGGAGTGTCTTCTAAGTGATTCTAAATCCGATCAAGTCGATAATGAAATACTTCACTGGAGTGGTCCCTCAGAGCCCTGCTTTGCTCCCCAACATCCCACCCTTCTCTGAAGGCAATCCCCTATCCCAATCTGATAGAATTTGACTTCACCTTACTCTTCCCCAGCACGAGGCCCAGAGTTGGCACTCTGGGAGTAGGTATGATTGCTGAAGAGTCTCTCGAGATCAGAGCTTGAGGTAACATTCCTGGGACTCTGAACTTAACAGCTTTCCCTTCTCTTTCAGAGCCAGTACAAGTTTGTGTGCGAAGCAATTCTTCGAGTGTATGAAGAAGGGTTAGTCCAGAGACTGGATCCCAGTTAGGACAACTGTGAAGCGTTCATTCCCCCTTCCCTAGGGCTTCCTCCAAAAGAAGGGGACACACCTTCCCCCGGAGGCCTCCAGAGATGCTGATCGCTGTGGGAAAGGGATGAGCTCATTTGAATCCAGGCACTTTAAATTTCTGTGGAAAAGATATCCTGTACATAGGAACTGATGTAGATATGCATGCAACTGTGGCTTCTTTGGGCCCAGAGAGACACGCAACAGGGAAATTTCAGATGGGGACTGTTTGCCTCTCTAGGCATTACCATCCCCCACCAGGCATCCTTGGGCAATGAGAAGGAATGCCAGCGATGCTGTTGACACCTCTGCCCCCCAGAAGCCAGACAATGTGGCTACTTGTGGTTGCTCGAGTGTTTTGTGTGTTGATGTGCGTAGGACTTCAAGGTTGAGCTTCCCAGGCCTCCAGGTGGGGCTGAACAATTGGTGTCCATTACCCCTGACACCAAGTAGACCCCATGAATGTTCCACAGGCAGGGCACAAAGGACTAAAGGCTGGAGGATGAACAGTATCTGTTCTGCCCTCCCTCCCTTCTGCTCGTGTTCCAAAGCATCCCTACTCCTCCCCACCCCCAAATTCCTCTTCTTCAGGTTCACACCCAGTGCCTGAACCCTATTAATAATGTATGTTCAGGTGAATTCTCAGTCGACACTGGGAACTAGGCTGCGTGATGCTATTTCTTAGCTTTAGAAGCAGGTGTGCCTCTGCTTGCCTCCCACTATATACTCAGACACCATGACTGGAATCTCTGGCTACTGAATCTTTTCATGGATTGCTGCTACTTCAAGCTTCACACTTGAAATGAGACGGTTTTCCTGGGGGTGGGGGATAGCATCCAGACATTCAGCATTTGGGGCCCTTCTGAGAAAAGACCTTCTAGTAAGTGACCATGGGAAACCCTGCTTCTCAAGGGTGATGATGGTGATAGAGTGCGTGAGTGTGTGAGTGTGTGTGTATGTGTTACCCACGGGCGAATGTTTCTCAGGATTCCTAACTTGATTCAAATTACTGTTGAGTTTATATAACGAATGAGTCTCTGTACAGAAAAACAAATGTGTGTGTTCACCCTCAGTTACAATGGTCTCCATTTCATTTCAGAGAGGATCAGACTTTCTGAATATAAACATAATTTGATGTTAATTTATTCTAAGTACCCCAGGATTTTAGTTGTCTTAGAGAATTCTGCCTCTGTGAATACTATGTTAATTTTTTTTTAATTTGTGACAGGATTGTAGCAAATTATTATTTAAGGAAAATAAATTACATGAACACTTTAATGTGGTATTTTTAAATAGCAGTTTTTATGTATCCAGGAGCTACCTTCTAATGGCAGTTATAGAAAAATGATGCTTTGTTGTTATTGTGGATTTAGATGAAGCCATGTTGATATTTAGCAGACACTGGACCAATTAAATCATTTCCTGGTTGTGAGATAAGGAAGGAAGGGACCTGTCCAGAGGAGTCCAGGTTTCTAACGGTTCTTTCTCTGCAGGCTCAACCTATCTTAGCTACTTCCCTCTTCCTGTCCTCTCCCCCACACATATTTTACTGCTCGAGGACATGAGTAGGCAGGAGCGATGCCCTGTGTAACAAGAAGCCCCTGGAAAGTTTGGATAAAGGCTGAGAGATTTGGTTCTCCAACCCACTCAACACCGATTAGATCTCAGCCTAGAAGCCAAGGGTCTCTACCTCTATTTCCTTCTCTGGAAAATAAGAGAAACAACACTCTTAGAATGCGAGGACTGATGAGATCACACTATGGAAATGCATTTTGCCCACTGGAATATAAACCAGCACTACTGAAGACCAGTTCCTTGGAATTATCGGCTTCTCTGTGGTTGGCCCTCAAATACATCAGACAAGCAGAAATTTCTGGGTTTCCACAGAACAATATTCTTCTAGAAGGAGAAAGCAAGCAAAAGACGATCACACTGATACCCAGATTCAGAACCCCACCCCCCAACGCCAGCAAAGCACCAAGAGGAGGAGGAGCAGGAAATGCTGGCTACATTTAAGTGGCACCAGGCCGTTTAGCAAACCATCACCATTTGATAAAAATGTATTACCGCCCTGTGTGCAAAACACTTGCAAAGCCTGAATGTCCTTGGAGAATGTTTTACTGTTTTGTAAAAACAGGTAGTTTCATGTGGCTATGGGAATGCTGTTGCTACACATACAGAAGTTTCTCTGAAGCATAAAAAACTGCATCTGGCCTTTCTCTGCCACTGTGTGGGGCCAGCAGTTCAAACCCAGGAACAAGGTCCATGGATTCCTAGGAAGGACAAGAAACTATCGCCAAGAGCAGAACACCCAAGTAATTAGATATTCCTGATTAAAGTCCGTAGCTCCAGACTCGTGCTCCCACACATTCTGCCCTTCAACAATCGCTCTGAAGAAGCTGTGTTTCATCCTGACAACTGCATCCGAATCAGGGTAAATATTTTGCCTGGGAAATTTGGCTAGATGTTAATGGAGACGATATTTACATGCTACATTCTGGCACCTTCCAGAAGATCTCAGACATACCATGTAGGCTGACTTAATCAGGATGGATTCCCTGCTGGTACCACTCTCTGGAACCTGCAACTTGGTCTTGTTGGCTTTCCAGAGAGAAAGCTGGAGTGGCTGGATCACAAACCTCTACCAATCACTTGTTTTTTGCCACAGTTGCTGATACCGAAATAATGCATTTAGACTAGTGTAGATTCTGTTGCTGCTATGTTCCTGCTTGGTCCTTTTAGTATTAATATTCTTTAAAATTATCATTTTAGGGGCACTAAGGGACCTTTCATCCTCCCAAAGCAATGATGAGCAGCATCAGTAGGAAAAATATTGTAAGAGGCAGGACTCAGTCCAGACCTGGACATAAGGAAGCTGAGTTACCCTCCGTTCTTTTACATGGCTTTGGGCTGGACTAGATAAGCTCAAGATTTTATTCCAGGGAAACAAAATTTATCCTTAACCAAGTCTGAAGAGCTGACACATATGCATATCCTGTTTCAAACCAGGAGGATGTCTTAGCCCTTGGCACTGTGGACTATGAAGACAAGATTGCCACTCCTGGTTCTCGATTGTCATCCAAGACTAAAAGCAGACCCAGTAAAGATGGCAAAGGTCATGTGACCTCAGCCTAGGGAACCAAACTACAGAGACTGATGTTGGCTGTCTCATCATCATGATAGCTCACGTTCAGTCTGAAGCAACCAAAGGATTGTGTTAAGCCATGTTGTTTTCAAAAGTATCTTACTGGTTCAGCAATATTTTTTTTTTCTGTAAATTTGAAATGTTTTACATTCTGACCTGTTGTCAGTGACTACTGGAAAACAGTTTGGTCAATATAAAAGCATTCAAGCTATGCAACACTATTACTGTCTGTTGATATTTTTATTCTTATGTCTGATATCTGCAAGTTGTTCCCTTCCCCCATATCAATTCTTGGAGAAAAGTGCTGTCTGTCCTTCTCACCCTCCCTCTGCTTATGACCATGACCTCTTATGCATAGTACTTATGTTGGTCTTCACCTTGGGTGGCTAGTTCTAGATCAGAATTAAGTTCCACTGTTGTGACAGCAGTATCTTGCACAAAGCCTACCCCCTTCATCCAGGGTGGCTCTGTGATAGGCTGGGTCCCAGATTCCCCCAAACATGTTGGCTCTCCTGTCCTCAGAATGTGAGGTTCAACCACATTCAGGTAAGCCAGATAGCAGGACAGAGTAAGGGGAAAAGAAAAGCAAAACAGACTGGAGAAACAGCTCAGTGGTTAAGAGCACCACCTGCTCTTACAGAGGACCTGGATTTGATTCCCTGCACCTACATAATGGCTAACAACCATCCTTAACTCCAGTTCCAGGGGATCCAACACCCTCTTCTGACCTCGGGCATCTCACGACATGGGCACACTTACATACATCTAGGCAGTACAGGCATACACATAAAATAAAAATAAAATATTTGTTTAAAAAAGCAAGAAAGGGGCCCTTAATCCTAGGGCTATACCTCCTTCAAAGAAGTAGTTTTTATGTCAAAAATATATATATGTATATATACATACATACATGCTGCGGTTAAGGATGTGACTCAGTAGAGTGCATGCCTAATATGCATGAAGCCCTGGGTTCATCCCCAGCACTACTTCAGGAAATTGAAGCAGGAAGATCAGGACTTGCTACATAGCAAGTTCAAGGCCAGCCTGGGCTATGGAACATGAACCCCTGTGGCTGGCAAGATGGCTTAACAAGTAAAGGTACTTAACCACCAAGCCTGACCACCTGAGTTTGAGCCCAGAACCCCTTGTGGTGGAAGGAGACATCTGATTTCTGGAAGTTGTCCTCTGACCTCCACTCACGTACCATGATACACATGCTCTCATATACAAACACAAAATAAATGGAACAAAACTTCCAAAAAGAGAAATAATATGCTTAACTAAAATTCAGGTGGTCTGTTTCAGAGAAGGAATGAGTTTGAGGGACAGTGAACTCTGTCATGATCAACCTTTTGGACCCATGTAGTGATTTCTCCTCTCCCTACAGGAGCCACACAAACTGAACACTATAGTGTCATAAGGCTGACTTGGGGGTTCTTTGCAGGCTTCTCCATCTGCTTTGGATGTTCTTTTTGTGGTCTGATGGTTTCAAAGTTAAATGATTAGCTCTTCTCACATAATAAATAGCAATGACACAGGAAACAGCTATTGAAAATACCAGGGAATGCCAGGTGTGGTGGCACACACCTTTAATCCCAGCACTCAGGAGGCAGAGGCAGGTGGATCTCTGTGAGATCAAGTCAGCCTGGTCTACATAGCAAGTTCCAAGCCAGCCAAGGCTACATAGTGAGACTCTGGGTTTTTTTGGTTTTTTGTTTTTTTTAAAAAAAAGCATGGGAGCAGGAGTCTCTGCCCACACGGTTAGCAAGCCCCCAGTTCCTGTGCCTTTGGCTAGAGGCCAGTCCGCATCCAAAGTGAGACTGCAAAGGGTGACCTTCGGTACCACACACTTCTCAAGCTTGTGAGTTATGGATAGCCAAAGATTTGGGTTCGATTTGCGTCCCCTGCTCTCTAGCCATGCCTCCTCAACTTAAAGGTGCCCTCCTGGAAGGTTAGGTGAACAGCCAGCCTCCAAACCTGACCTCTGGAGTTGTCAGGTTCACATGTTATGGCAGAAAATCTTGCTTGCTGCCCTGGCCTGGTGTCTTCCCACTTCAAAGCCCCTGTTGTTGATAGTTGCATTTGGGTGGACAGAAGAGAATTGGCACTTTCAACATTAGAAGATTTTAATCAACTTTGAGTGCAGGCTACCAAGCGCTAATTTTAGAACAGCACGGGATTCCTTCCTGTCTCCTGCTGGCTTTAGGCCTGTTCACCCCACTTTCACAGGAGCTTGTGAAAAGCAGCAAGGAGTGGCATACTTTGCATCCAAGCACTGTTATATCCGTTGCTGTGGCTTTAGTGTGTGGTTTGTCTTCCAGGATCATACATTATCCGGTTTCATCAAATGTTCATCCATTTTGGAAGAGAGTTATATGTATTTTTGCCATTACTGACCTACCAAGCCCACTAAGCCACTGCCACATTGGTGTGATTCGCAGCATAGTGTTTTCACATACCCACTTCTGCATCCAAAATACCAAAGCAAAGGTAGCTGGAGTGAAGTAGTTTGCTTCACACTCACACAAGCATGGGCAGCCCAGAGCCCCCATGGGGCTCCTCCACATTGGTTGCTCTATTAATATGTGTTTTCTACCACATGGTCTAAAAATGGCTTCTCTGGTGCCAAGCATTATGGCCACATTGTGACCAGAAGAAAATAAAAAAGGTCTAGAGAGATGTTTAGCAGTTAAGAGCACTGACTGTTCTTACAGAGGACTGAGGTTCAGTTCTCAACACCTATATGTCAACTAACTGTCCATAGCTCCAGTTCCAAGGGATCCAACACCCTCTTCTGGCCTCTGTGGTCATTTCATGACACGGGTGTGCTTACATGCAGGCAAAACAAATAAAATTTAAAAAGAAAAAGGAAAAGCAAAAAGAAAATACATTTTCCCATATTGCTATGATTTAGTCATGAGAGACCTGAGTGACTCCATCTTGGATAAAACCTCCATGGGACTGACCCAGCCCTGAACCCTGTTCCAGGAAAAACCACAAAAAAGTATACTTGGAACAGATAGAGAACAATTCCCCCACCAACGGTCAATTAACCAGGGACAGGAAAGTACTAAAAGTCCAGATATCTCTTCAGATTTCCTGAAGGTGGGAGTTTATGGTTTGGCACTGGGCTGCAACCAATCAGATGCCTGCCAGGCTGGAGACACCCTACTTGCTGAACTTGCTGAAATAAACCTATAAAAACCTCTGTCTCTCAAAGCAAGGGGTCTCACATCTGAGATCCGCTGGGTCGGTGACAGAGTGGGCCCAAGCTTAAGCTTGCAACAATAAAAGAACCCTTGTGTGTTTGCATCAGTTGGCCCCTTGGTGGTCTTTGGGGGGTCTTGCAAACTGGGCACAACATCTTGGGGGCTTGTCCAGGATCCCCAAGACCCCCCAGGACCCCCGAACTAAAGGGTCCCTGGCCAGCCAGTAAGTATTTGTGTCTAGTTGTGCCTGTCTGTGTCTGTCCCAGCTTTTGTTTTGAGCCTCGAGGCAAACTTGTGAACAGTGTGGTCAGGAGCGATTGGAGTGGACACACTGGATGACCGTGACCACAGAAGTCTGGAAGACGTTCCAGACCCCGGCAGAGGGGACGGAGGGCCCTCTGTTGATTTCTGTGAAAGGAAAAGGCGAGTCACTCTTGTGATGCGGCAGTTCACCGCTGTCCTACTTTCAGTTTTTCTTCCTCATGGGGGGGGGATTTGCTACTTGGCCTTCTGCATGTCTTTCTGGCTCTCTGTTTTGTCTTTGGTTGTCTATTTCTCTGTGACTGAGATGGACGCAATGTGACAGGCTCCCTCTACACCCCTGGACCTGGTTCTTGCACATTTTGGAGAGGTTAAGACTCGAGCCCATAACCTCTCTGTTGTTGTCAGGAAGGATAAACTAACTACTTTCTGCAGGTCTGAATGGCCCACTTTCAACGTGGGATGGCCCTCGGAGGGGACCTTTGATTCCTCTGTCATTAACATGGTTGAGAAAATTATTCTTCATCCATGTGTAGGACACTCGGATCAAATATCATACATAGTGGTCTGGGGAGATTTAGTTAATAACCCCCCTCCTTGGGTCAAGTCTTTTCTTCTCTTACAGAAAACTGAGGTGCTGACAGCTGCAGAACCCAAAAAGCACCTAAGCCTGAAACCAAACCATCAGTACCATCGCTGTACCGTCTTACAGGGCAGCACAGAAGAAGATCTAATTTTTCCTCCCCCTCCTTATCCTCCTCTTCCACAGGAGGTACCCCCTCCGGAACCGGCACCCCTGGTACCAGATTCTTCACAGGCACAGGGGGACCAGCTCAGGGGACTAGGAGTAGAAGGGCAGCAACACCGGAGGGTCCAAACTCTACTGTTTTATCCCTCAGAGTCACCGGCTCCGCGGATGAGGCCGGCAACCAGCCCCATTGCTATTGGCCATTTGCCACTAGTGACCTTTACAACTGAAGAACCCAGAATGCTCCCTTTTCTAAAATCCTAAGGAGCTTATTAATTTATTAGAAACTGTCTTATTCACACACCAACCCACTTGGGATGATTGTCATCAATTATTACAGGTCCTGTTTACCACAAAGGAATGGGAACGTATCCAAACAGAAGCCAGGAAATTAATTCCTGGAAATACTGGTGTCCCTACTACTGACCCGACACTGATTGATGCTGCCTATCCACTGACCCGGCCTGATTGGAATTATAATACTGCAGAAGGTAAGGGGAGGCTTCTGGTTTACCGCCGGGCTCTGTTGACAGGTCTCAAAGCCGCTGCTCGTAGGCCAACTAATTTGGCAAAGTTATACAATATTAGTCAAGAACTAAATAAAAGCCCAGCTGCATTCTTGGAGCGAATAATGGATGTCTTCCGCAGGTACACTCCATTAGACCCGGAGGCCAAAGATAATATAACAGCAGTGACCATGGCTTTTGTTAACCAGTTGGCTCTGGATATAAAAAAAGCTCCAAAGAGTAGAGAGACTGGGTAAAAAGAGCTTAAGGGATTTAATAACTATGGCCAGCTGAGAAAACGTACAATAATAGGGATAGTGCAGAGAAAAAAACAGATAAAGGCAGAAAGGAGGCAGAACAAGGACCTGGCAAGGACCCTGCTGGCTGCCACTGTGGATCCAGAGGACCGGCAGAGGCATCTGAGACAGATAGCATCAGGGAAAGGAGTCTCTTGCAGTATGTGGATGACCTACTTGTAGTGGCAGACAGCCAAGAGG